TTTATTCTATTTATTTGTTTTTATGTGGTGCTGAGAATTGAACCTAGGGCCTCACTTGTGCTAGGCAAGTGCTCTACCACTGAGCTACAGCCCCAGGCCAAACATCAGCATTTTTAAGCATTAGCAATAAGTATGGTGGCACAAGCCTGTCGTCTCAGCTACTCCAGAGGCTGAGGGAAGAGTTAATCACTTGAGTCCATGAGTTCAAGATCAGCCTGAGCTGTTAACATAGCTAGACTTCATTTTAAAATTAAATAAATAAAATAAAATTTAGCAAAAAGTCAAATGAAACAAGAATTGTAACCATCAAATCTAATTTTAAAAATGCTACTTCAGCTTTTAAGAGAAAAGTGATGAAAAAAAGCACACTAAATAAGAACTGTGGAGTAAAAATGAATAGCTTTGAATCACACTTTTATTATTGTTAATAATATTTGGAAATACAGCATCAAATATCCTATACAGCAGCCTGACTTTATCATGCTTTTATAACACAACTATGTGGTGTGTGTGAGACTTTGTCTTCTATCTATCTCCATTCCTCAAGCACTCACCAGGATTTCTTGGGTTACAGGAAAGTGATGGGGACAGGAAGAGGTTTGTGGGTTTTGTTTGTGGTTTTATGTCTTTCTGGGTTTTGTGTGGAGGGAGGGGGCCTGTGGTTTGGGAGGTTTTCTGAGTTTTGTGTTTGTTTGTTTGTGTTATTTTCAACTTTGTTTTTACCTTTTTGTGGGGGGGGGGGGCATATCCTTAACTGGAGTTAATTACCAGAAGAGAAACAACAAACRTCAGATCCCTGCCACACGCAAGGCATGGTTCTAAACAACTACCTACATTCTTTTATTTAACAAGTCTTTGGGATGGATATCACTGTCTCATTGTATGAATGAGAACACTGAAATGCACAACAGTTCAGCCTTGTGAACACGCATACAACTAGTTAAGAACACAGCCAAACAAAGACATATGAATCTAGATCTGTATTCAAACCATTCTTCCTTGTTAATTTTAAGGGGAAGATTTTAAAAAGAAAATTGGAATAAACAACAACTAAATGATGAAGTTAAAAGGTATATCCAGGGCTAGGGCTGGGGCTCAGTGGTAGAGCACTTGCCTAACATGTGTGAGGCACTGGGTTCGATCCTCAGCACCACAAAAATGAATAAATAAAAGAGATGTTGTGTCCATCTACAAAAAAAAAAAAAAAAAAACACAGTGAATCCAAAGTCAACTGTATTTTTAGCAATGTGCAATATAAAATTTTAAAAATAGTTTCATGGCGGGTTGCAGATTTAATTTGGTTGTAGAGTGCTTGCCTAGTATGTATAAGGTCCTGGATTCCACTCCCARCACCTCTCTACTCTCCCAAAAAAGTTCATGTACAATCCACATCAAACAGAACAAAAAATTTTTGAAAATACTGTTAAGTGCAATACTCGCACACTGAAATAACACATCACTATAAAAAATCCAAGCTGTCTTTTTTGCAAAAATTGATAAAATGAACCTAAAGCTCATATAAAAATATAAAGGACATAAAATGGCTTAACAGTCTTGGAAAAGAAAACAATGTTGGAGGAGTTAGAATTAATTTCAAAATCCATCACAAAGCTACAGTAATGAAATCATGAGGTGCTGGCATAAGGACAGATATATAGATCAACAGAATAGAATTCAGAATTCAGGAAAAAAAACTTCACATATGGTCAACTGATTTTCAATAAGAAGTATAAATGAGGAAGAGAACAGTCTTTTCAATATATGGTGCTAGGAAAACTGAATATCCATAGGTGAAAAAAATGAATTTTGACCACTAACTCATACCATATACAAAAATTAACTCAAAATGGATCAACAACCTAAATATTAGTTAAAGGCATAAACTCTTAGAAGAAAACATAGGAATATATATTTCATGACTTTGTATTTGACAATGGATTCAGATATGACAGCAAAAGCATGAGCAATAAAAGAAAAAACTAGACTTGGTTGAAATTAAATACATTTTTACATCAAAGAACATTATTTAAAAAATTGAGTCGGGGGCTGGGGATGTGGCTCAAGCGGTAGCGTGCTCGCCTGGCATGCGTG